TACAGTAGAAGCCATTTTAAGGCAGTACAGTAGAAGCCATTTTAAGGCACAACAGGCTGGATCTTAAAAGGACACACATCCCGAGGAGTGTTAGGGGTGACTTACCCCCACGGTATTTGTCTCAAGACAGTAAGTCACCTGTGTCCCAAGTTTGGTTGAAATTGCTCGAGGTGTATATATATTCGTTGCCTTGGTATCCTTTGCATCTATGGAGATTCTCTGTCGCCCAAGGTCATGGTTGCCTCAAGGGCAACTAGGGCCTCCCTTTCCAGAACTGATCCCTGTCCACCTTCAGATGTGCTTCATCACTGGGGTTTTTTAAGAAGAGACTGGGCAGTCACTTGTCTGAAATGGTAGATGGTCTCCTGCTTGAACAAGGAGCTGGACTAGAAGACCTCCAAGGTCCTTTCCAGATCTATTCTGATTCACTTCCAATTTTGCTCCTGAGGAAGAACTGCAAAAGATAGACAGGACTCACAGAAACATCTTGATTTCTGGGAAGAAAAAAACAACAGATTTAGTGTGTGTGTATGTGTGAGAGAGAGAGAGAACGGAATCTGACATTTCTCAAGAAACAATTGGCTGATGTACCAACTGTGCCTTTTTTAAGAGGCAACTGGACTTCACACCTTTCACTTCTCATCCAAGAAGCTTCTTTAGCTCTGATAGGATAGTGGATTCTTCCATTCCCCACCACCATCCAGTCAGAGCTGAAGAAGCTTCTTGGATGAGAAGTGAAAGGTCTTCAAAGAAAAACCAGAAAGTCCAGTTGCCTCTTTGGGGGAAAAAAAGCACCTTTGGGACAACCAAGAGCTCTCTGGGTGACTGAGAATCTCCATAGACAAACTAGCTGATGTGTTTCAGCTGTAAGAAATCCCAGTGAGCTTCACACCTGTTTGTGTTGGTAGCCTAAGTTGGGGCTTACGAATTTCAATCATTTCTCTTCTCTCCCCCCCAGACAAGATTATCCCAATGACTATTACAAACCCAAAAGTGGATGGAATGGCTACTATGGAGACTATTACTCAAACCCGTATGATAACGGAGGTGAGGATGTGGTCCTACAGCAAAATATGCCTTTCAATGTACAGACTCCCCTAGCAGAAGGCTGATATTTTCTCTTTCATCTCTGTAAAGGCCATTTAAAGACATTAAAAGTTTGAGGAAGCTACAGGTAGTCCTTGAGTTACAACCACAATTGGGACTGCATTTCCGGTCTTAAATTGTTATCATCTTCAGCTGAGGCACCCATGGGACAGGCTCTGATTTGATGACATTTTTTGCATTTTTTTTTTTTGCAAACTCTACAGTTGTGTGGGTCCATTCTTCCAAATGGTTGGGTTTTTTGGTGAAACCAGCAAAAAAAAAAAAATTAATTGCAAATTGCATGTGACTATGCGACATCGCAACGGGCCCTTAAAACAGTGAGAGTCTTAAAGTTCCCAAGTTTGGAGACCCCTGCTTCAGTAGCTCTGGGAGTTGTGAGATTCAGAAAGCATAGAATCAATTTGGCCTGCTTGTTCAGCATTGTGAGTATTCTTGTAAAAATGAAATAACTAAATGAAATGCTCTTTTAAAACTCTTGTATTGTAATTTTTGAGCATTTATTTGGGAGGAAATTCGCTCAAATTTTGAGTCCTTTATTTGTCAAAGGTGGAAGATAGTGTAAGCACCCTAATAAATTTGTCTACTGGAATTTATTTTCAGGGACACATATCATCTCCTTTTAAAGACCCCCATAATCCCTTGTGGGATGGAGCCTGGGCAACTGAATGGAGCTGGGTGTTTACTGGCTGGATGCTCTTCCTGTTGCCAGTGCGGAGTTTTTTCCCCAGCAGATATATTCTTAGTGTGCCCAGAGAGAGAAATATCTGCTTCTACCTAGGATCAAACTCTCAGCCTCCTGATTGTGAGGCGAGAGTGCCCCCTCTAGGCCACTGCCCCACTCATTTTCAAGGACACATTTCTGGGTAAAAACCAGTTCATCTGAAATGTGCAGTTTTTCAGCTCAAGAAAGGGAGACTAACTCTAGGAGTACAGGATCCCTCTGTTAGCCTTCAGTTACTACTCTCTGTCGAGTCGAAATCAGTGGTGAAATTCCAAAAGTTTTACTACAGGTTCTGCGGGTGTGGTTCGGTGGGCATGGCAGGGGATCCCCATTCCCTCCCCACTCTGGGGCCAGCCAGAGGTGGTATTTGCCGGTTCTCCGAACTACTTAAAATTTCCACTACCGGTTCTCCAGAGCCAGTCAGAACCTGCTGGCCCAAATAATCCCTTGGACCTTTCTAACATGCACAAGCTGGATTGAGACCTCCTTCCAAAATTACAAGGTTAGGGTTAGGGTTTACTTAGATCATTGGGTGAATTATGTTGTTTATAAGTCTTTTGAGGCCAAGGGGCCCATTTGGAATTTGAAAACACGCAAGGCCTAAATTTAAAGTTGACAAGTGGTACGTTGCTTGGCAGAATATCAGCTTCCTGGCGTTTTAATTCAACACAGGTTTTAATTATTTGGGGGGGAGGAAAGAACCTAAGTGCCATGTTGGATTCTTCCTGTCTGTAGCTGAATGCTGCATGAAACACCAGCCCTGCATGATTTACTCAACGGACTGTAGTGAAACCAAAGGCAACGGCTCCACTGGACCGGTGGACGGCTGGCCAAGGCAGCCTGTTAGTGGATGTTCCTAGGGATCTGATTGGGTGTAAGAGTGCAGAGCCTCTGCGATGACGGATTGTCCCTCTCTTCTCTTTTAAGAGCGTTACCCTCCCAATTACGATGCCAGGTTCCGAGACCCTCGGCTCTATGATCAGAGGTATTGGTACAACAACACGGATCAGAACCTTTACCCAAAGAGAGAAGCCTATCAGCAGGGAAACAGGTTGGTGAACCTTCCAATACCTCTGGGCTCCCAATGGATTTGGGAATGATGGACCTTTTGGGGGCATGAAAGGCAATTGGGATAGCAAGAGCAGCAGAGACATTCCCCGCAACAACCTGATCCTACAGCAGAAAACTCTGTTTCCCCGAAAATACAGCCTGTCCCAAAAACAAGCACTAGCCCAGTTTTCAAGCCTGCAGCTAATATAAGCCCTACTCAAACAATAACCCTCCTTAAGCCCTGCCCACCACCTGGTTATACGGGGTGAGGCACATGCCTAAAAACCAAGCGAGGGTGGGGAGGTGGGGCCTTTACCTTATGACTGCCGCCCCTGTCACGTCACTGCCCAACTTCTTCTGCAGCTGCTTGGGGCCGCTTGCTGCTGGACGCCACCTGGCACATCACACTAGGGCTGCTACTTGCGGCAGGACCAGCGGTGGCACCGGTGTGAAGAGCCATGCACCGTCTGGCCATGCACGGCTGTAGAAGAAGTCGGGCAGCAGCCTGACAGGTATCAAGGCCCGAGAGGCCCGAGTGCGGTGATCCTAAGGTAAGCAGGTAAGACCTCCCCTGAAAATAAGGCCTGGTGCTTATTTGGGGGCCCAAAGAAGACACACAGGTAATTAGAATCCACTCTCTTCCTGGATTGAGAGCAGGATTGGAAGTCTTCCAGCAGCCCTGTGGAATTCATGTGATTGCAGAAACCAAAAGAGATTAATGCACTTCAGAAATGTCAAGTCGAATAGCCTCCAGTTTACAGGGAGGATGGCAGCCGTTTATTAATGTTGTAAATTCCCCTTATTTTTTTCTTTCCTTCCTGCCTTTTAGCTTTTTGTTTTAAAAGAAAATCTGGAGCTTTGATTTTGAGGGGTGGTGATTTTGAATAGTCAGAGCTTCGTCGTCGCCTACCGGATTGAGTGGATCTGGCTTTCCATGGTGGCAGTTATAGTCCATATTCATCATAAAATGTGGCTCCTCTTCCCTGCCCTTCGTGAGGGTGGGGCCTGCACGCCTTCTGTCCCACACTGAGCGTCATTTGAGAAGGATGGCTTCTGTCCTTCGTGTGGTGCATTTCGCCGTGAGGCTGTTTTCACTGGACTTGAAGCATCTCCGTTTAGGCATCCGTAAAAAACCTCTGGGGCTATTTGAGCAAAAGTACAGAGTTTCACAGTTCTGCAGGAAACGTGGATGCATCACTGATGCAGATTTGAAAATTTAACTATTCCGTATCCTGAATGCTGTAATTTTGATGAGAGAAGCATCTCAGCTAAAGAACGGGGGAAGGCAGACCTGAAAAGCCTGGTTTCCTTTTAGTGCTCATGGGTGTGAGCCTTGAAAGAAAGGGAATGGTTAAACGTCTCAACAACAATCCTTCCCTCCTTGCTGGTGGCTTCCTAAAAGTATGAATCCATAATTACCTGCTGGTGGTGAGAAAAGGGGCGGCCCAGAATGCACACTCCAGGCACACGCCTTGTGTTCTTTGGAGCTCTTGTGCAAACACAATCACTCTCTGTCCCAGGTCCCTGCTTGAAACCGTGTTCCTCCTTTAGTTCTTGAAGTGTGACTTTGTCCTGAGGCCATGGGCTCTGCTTCACTCAGGCAACATAAAATTTAGCCTCAAGACTCTTTTAATTGCTGGGCTGCTTTATGGGGAAAGCAGCGAGAAATATCTGCTCTCTGTCTGGGATCGAACTCACAGTCTCCTGATTGTGAGGCGAGAGCGCCACCTCTAGGCCACTGCACCACTCTGATGACTTCCCTTTCTATCCCCTCGTCTAAATCGCATACATAGACCTTGACGTGTCCTGGGCCTAAGACAGTGTTCCTTCTCTCCCCCACTCCCCCCCCCCAAAGTAATGAGCGGTATGAAGACAATTGGCGATACGACCCTCGTTTTGTGAGCAGCTTCGATGAAGACTTAGAGCCGCGCAGGGAACCGTATGCGGATGACAGTGACTGGCGCAGCGTCCACAGCGAGCATTCGGGACACAGCCTGCACAGCTCCCACAGCCTCCGCAGCCACCAAAGCAGCTTCAGCTCCCGTTCTCAGCAGGTAAGGAGGCCTTGCAACCTTCTCGGCCACTTCAAGATGGGTGGACTTCAACTCCCAGAATTCCCCAGGCAGCAAGACCAAATATGATGTGGCCTCCCTTCCTGTGGTGTCGGATGTGCCTAGCTGGGGCACTCCCCCCGCCCTTTTTAGGTTCATGCTTCTGTTGGGGTCGAATGTCCCCATTGCTTATCACAGTCAGAAGGGCTTCTTTAAGCGGCTTCACCTGAGCTTCCTTTTGTGGCTCAGAGGAAATGAAAGTATGTTTCATTACAACGTCTCTGCCGGAGAAATAGCTTTGTACGCTAGTATGCGGGGGTTTCAGTTCGTGAGAAATGGGGCCTCCCAGTTTATCTGTGACAGGAGTGTCAAACTAAAGGCACAGGGGCGAGATCTGGCCCATGGGTTGTTTAGATCTGGCCTGTGGGGCTATCATGGAAACCGCAAGGGAGCAACCCACAGTGCCTCTACCAGAAAAAATGTCCTCCCAGCTCCATTGTTGCTGGCAGAGGGTTGCAGGAGGCCGTCACAGCGGAAAACAAGAACCCGGGAGCCCATTTTTGTTGGCAGAGCACTCAGGCCACCACAGGTACCCCCTACAGAAGTGGCATCGAGCTGCCCATGCCCACCCAGTCGGTCCCCTGAAGTCAAACATGAACCCTGATGCGACCCTCCATGAAATTGAGCATGACACCCCTGAGCCTTCCTTGGTTTAAGATAAATGCCTTCGAAATAGCAGTGGAAGTCAGCAGTTGTTTGCAAATCAACAGAGCATCTGTGTTGCCGTTTGCCTGCCACTCGGGTTTGATTGTCAAATACCATTCAGACAGTTACATCAGGGGTCCCCACCCCCTGGTCCTTGGCCCGGTATCAGTCCGGGACCTGTTGGGGACCTGGGCACTCATCATACAAGTGATGGAAGAGGGCACGGAGCTCCATTTGCACAAGTGATGGGTGTACATGTGAAACCATTCCCCCCGCCCCCCAGCCGCCACTGCTGCCCATCCATGGAGCTGGACTTGTTGGGGACGGCTGATTCACATGACAGATAAATGACAAGGAGGAAGGACTTCCTCCTGCATTCCCTCGGGAGACAGTTCGTTTTCTGGCCTTGAGGTTCAACACAGCATCCAGACCGAGGATAGCAATAGCAGTGGTCCTTAGACTTATATACCGCTTTACAGTGCTTTACAGCCCTCTCGTAGTGGTTTACAGAGTCAGCTTCTTGTCCCCAACAATCCGGGTCCTCATTTAACCGACCTTGGAAGGACAGAAGGATGAGTCAGCTTTGAGCCAGTGGGAATCGAACTCCTGGCAGTCAGCAGAGTTACCCTGCAATACTGCATTCTCANTGGGCTGTAGAGATCACGCCCCTCTGGCTGCTGCAGGTAACCTGGGAGACAGGCTTGAGAAAGATATGCGTGGAATGTGCTTCTGTTTGTGTCTGCTGTGCTGCGTCATCAGTTCCCTATCCCTCTTGCCTATGGCAACTTGAGAGCAGGCCAGGGATGCAAGTTGACACCAGTTCCCCACCTTTCAGACCTTCATGCTGGTTATCTCAAAGCTTAGCAGATCCAAATTGGCGATGGGAGAGACTGAGGAGCTGAGCAGCAGCTGGCCCTGGGGAATACACCCATACCCCCCCTCCCCTCCTCCCCAAGCGTCTCCCCAAAGTGTCACCAGTGTTAATGTCTTTAATTTGGCAGGAAGGAAAATGGGAGAATAATCATGTTGACTGTACTTAATGCATATGATATGAGTTGATCCATATTTATTTAATTCATTCTGAGCCTGGTTAGCTTAGCTCTGCCTTGAGAAATGCCTGAATGTTGGCTTGTAATAGCCTTCTGGGTGATTTTTTTTAGTAGCTAATTTTGTAACTTAATTGAAAGAAAAGGTTCATGACCAAGGACCCTTTCTGCAGCCAACTTGCAATCAATTCATTCCTTGTTAATTATGAAGAATTCTTCACACTTCCTCAGTCTGGTAAGTTCCACATCGGAAACCGAGAAAGGCCGCAGGGATAGAATGGAAAAAGATTGGGCAAATTTTTGCCTCAGGCCAGAAAAGATGCCCTTTAAAGCAGATCCTTCAGCAGACCTGATAATTCATGGTTCATCCTTTATTTTCAAGAAAATAATCATGCTCCTAATATTGCATTGAGTCCCCTTTGGGGAAAAGAGCAGCATATAAATGTAATAATAATAATAAATCCAATCCTTCAGTCTCAAAAGACTATGGTTATTGTGCTGTGGGAAGAGGTCAGAGCTGGAGTGTCCTCGCCAGAGAACGAGGCCTGGGTAGATTAATATGGAGGACAGACTGTTATCCAAGCAGCCGATCCCTCCTCTTCATGTCACTGAAATAGTCCAATGGAACAGCAGAGCCAATACGATGGGTTCCAGCTGCATCGCAGGAGTTATCAGAACGTGGTTGTACACAGTCACGATCTGCTTCCGGGACTCAGGCTCCAGGTTTTGGCTGGAGGTTAACTCCTGAAGCCTTTTCCAGTAGTGGATGTAGCCACAAGGCAGTGGAGATATGTAATTGGAGTTTCCCTTCTCCTAGAAGATGGCTCTGCCGCTTGATCTTCCGTTGGGGCGTAGAGCCCTCTTCCGCCTTCCAAACCGTGGACCATCTTCTCCCGTAACCCTGGAAAGGGGCCCTTACGAGGTGCTCCCAGCCAGGCCAGCTGGACCAAGGTTTTTTAAGGAGGGGTTACTCCTCCATCACTCACCCTTTGTCCTGGCTTGTGACAGGCAGAGCCTGGCTTCCCAAACGTTGGGCCCAGGATGGCGACTCTAATATTAGTATACTGCTTATTGGGTAGGTTGCATGATGGGGAGGGGCACAATTTCTTGGGGTGTTTTCAGGATGAGTCCCACTCAAGGGTATGAGAACCTCGCCAAGGTTTGCTCTGGGGAAGTTTGAAGAAGATGCCTTGGGTTTCATCATTGTGTTACCAAAATGCTTGGAATCATCCCTTGCCTTCTGCCCCGGAGTTTCAGTAGCTTCAGTCACTTGGAACAAAATGTGTTTTCCTGCAGCTCTCTGTTTCTTCTCTGTTATGTCGGACATAACTGAGGTAATGGTTGAGGCTAAAATGTCCTGGACTTTTTATTATACCAGGTTGCTGATTTCAGCAGAAAGGTTCACCTCCTCTCCCTTGATTTGTTAGTGATACATTCACAGATCTGTGCCCTCTTTTTCCACGGCCACCTCTGAGTTAATGTTTAAGTAGGGTGGACTTTCCACCCTGAAATTAAACTCCCACTGGATGACTGCGGTAGAAAGCCCCAACGTCTCCTGTTTTGCACTCCAGTGGGTTTGATGGGCAAAAGCAAACCCTCCCTAGAGTTTCTGCTTCCCACCCCCCACCCCTCCTTCACTGCCAGTCTGTCCCCAGGATGTCTGTAGAGATTCACTGTCATCCAGGTCATGGTTGTCCCAAAGGTGCTTTTTTCAGGAGGCAACTGGACTTTCTTTTTTCTTTTGAAGACATTTTGCTTCCCATCCAAGAAGCTTCTTCATCTCTGACTGGATGGTGAGGAATGGAAGGATGTATGTTCCTTGCAGGCAGCTGATCATTTGCATCCTTTTTAGAGGGTCGTTGAAGCACTTGGAGGTTTATCTGTGTCCTTGGGGTCACCTGAGTGGTGCAAATGATTCCTGTAGTCTGCAATTTTTCCTCTGGAGATCTATTCCTACTCCCACACCATTCCAAGTGTGTTCAACCCAAATTGTATATCTACAAGCTAAAATTGCAGACTCCAGGAACCAGGAGCACCACTTCTTCCAAAGAAAAAAACAAGAAAATCCAGTTGCCTCCCGAAAAAGCACCCGTGGGTCTGTCTGGGATGGTTTCTGAACCTTAAGCCACTATAAGGTGTGTGGACTTCAACTCCCAGAATTCCCTTGTTTTAAGAGCATCCCTTTTTATTTGTAGACAGTGGTGGGCACGGATATTGCTGAGCTTCTGCTTCAGGATCATAAGACGGTGTGGCTGCCTGGGAAGTCACCCAATGAAGCCAACCTGATCGATTTCACCAACGAGGCTGTGGAGCACATGCCCGAAGAGAGCGGGGAAGCTCAGCTGTCCTTCCTGACGGACAGCCTCATCGCCACCATCGACAGCCTCGAGAAGGAAACAGAGCGCTTCCGAGAGCTGCTGCTTTATGGACGGAAAAAGGTGCTGTCTCGCTTGGCTTCCTTCCTTCTTGGCTTTTGCAAAACGAGGAGACCTGCAAAAAAAAATTTTTTTAATGAATATCCTGCATTCTTTTCCCAATAGGATGCTTTGGAATCTGCCATGAAACATGGGCTGTGGGGCCATGCATTACTGCTTGCCAGTAAAATGGACAGCAGGACGCATGCTCGCGTGATGACCAGGTAGGAGATGAGACCTCTGTGTGCCTCTGTTCTCAATCAGGACGGAGCTTTATAAAACCCTTAGTGAGGCCACACCTGGAATACAGCATCCAGTTTTGGTCACCACATTGCAAAAAAGATGTTGAGACTTTGGAAAAAGTTCAGAAAAGAGCAACTAAGATGATCAAAGGCCTGGAGACTAAAACATAGGAAGAACAGTTGCAGGAATTCGGTATGGCTAGTGTAAAGAAAAGAAGGGCTAGGGGGGACATTGATAACAGAATTCCAGTATTTGAAAGGCTGCCACAAAGACGAGGGAGTCAAATTATTCTCCAAAGCAACAGAGGGCAGGACAAGAAACAATGGATGGAAAAACTAATCAAGGAGAGAAGCAACCTGGAATTAAGGAGAAACTTCCTAATAGTGAGGACAATGAACCAGTGGGACAGCTTACCACAAGAAGTTGTGGGAGCTCCATCACTGGAGGTTTTTAAGAAGAGACTAAACAGTCTCTTGTCTGAGATGATATAGATTCTCCTGCTTGAGCAAGGGGCTGGACTAAAAGACCTTCAGAGGCCCTTCTAAGCTTCTGTTCTGCTCTGTTCTGCTCTATAGAAGATCTTTAGGTGAGATCTGATCAGGAGGCCAATGCAACAACCTCTTTCCTTGCTTTGGGCCTTGCATTGTCTCTCCAAAGAGGAATCAAGGCAGTTTTCCTCCTTGGAATGTTGATTGCTGACCTTTGTACTCTTTTTCTTTTTCAACCTGTTTTTATTTCATTCAATACACAGTTAAAATAAAACATATAGAAGTAAAAAAAAATCTGAAAGGACAAATGGAAAAAAACTCCACACAAAACAATCAAAACATTAAAAAGTTGCATTAAAAAAGGATATTTATACATATTATCCCCTCTGGTTGAATACTGATGAATATATTGCTACAACATTAGTTCCCACCCCCTGCGAAATGAGCCCTCCCCAAAATTTGAAAAGACTGAATTTACTATATTTAATTAAGCAACAATTGACGAGAAATGATATTCAGAAACAAACATGAGTATTTGACCCAGGACGATTTATTTATAACTTTTGGGATAATTTGGGATAGATAAGATGCCTGATAAATTTTTGTAGGAGTGGATTACAGTAACAGCCTGTTATCCGAGAGTTTTGAAACTGGAAATTTTGTTTTGTTTCACTAATATTGTTTTCCTGTTAACTGTTTGGTCATTATCCCAAAGGTGCTTTTTCTTCAAGAGGCAACCGGACTTTCTGGTTTTTCTTTGATGACGTTTCATTTCTCATCTGAGAAGCTTCTACAGCAGTCTTAGAAGTTTAAAACTTTTTGCAGAGCTGAAGAAACTTCTTGGATGATCTAACAGATTAACAGAATTGGAAGGGACCTTGTAGGCAGGGGTGAAATTTAGCTGGTTCTGGAGAACCAGTAGCAGAAATTTTGAGTTATTTGGAGAACCAGCAAATACCACCTCTGGCTGGCCCCTGGAGTGGGGAGGGAATGGGGATTTTGCAGTATCCTTCCCCTGCCACGCCCACAGAACCTGTAGTAAAAAAATCTGAATTTCACCACTGCTTGTAGGTCATCCGCTCCAACCCCACCCCAAATCAGGAGACCCTACACCATATCTGACAAATGGCAGTCCAGTCTCTTCTTGGAAGCTTCCAGTGATGAAGCTCCCACAACTTCTGTTCCATTGGTTGATTGTTCTCACTGTCAGGAAATTCCTCCTTATTTCCAGTTTGAATCTCTCCTTGGTCAGTTTCCATCCTTTATTCCTTGTCTGCTTCGGGTGCTTTGGGAAATAGGCTGACCCCCTCCTCTCTGTGGCAGTCCCTCAAGTATTAGAATACTGCTCTCATGTCTCCCCTGGTCCTTCTATTCACTGGACTAGTCATGTCCAGGATGAGAAGCGAAACCTCTTCGAAGAAAACCAAAAAGTCCAGTTGCCTCTTGGAAAAAGCCCCTTTGGGACAACCATGACCTGGATGACTGAGAATCCCCATAGATTGGTCATGAATCTTGAAGAACATATTGCACATAGATTTAGTAGTACTCTCTTCTTTCTAGATTCGCCAACAGTCTCCCGATAAACGACCCGCTACAGACTGTTTACCAGCTGATGTCTGGTAGGATGCCCGCAGCATCGACCGTAAGTGCCAAGAGTTGAGCCTACCCCGTAACTTCCAAGGGTCGGGATTACAGCTTCCATACTTCCAGGGAATTTAGGGACCAATGGTCTCAATATTCGGAGACATGTACCGTATTTTTCTGTCTATAAGATGCCCCCATGTATAGGATGCCCCTCCCACTTTTCTTACCCAAAATTCAGAAATCGATATTTGAAACATTAACTAGAAGACATTTATTTTTGCAGAGTAAGACATGCACTTACTCGCAGCGATATTTATTTCTTTGTTTGTTTTCTGACATTATTATGGGCTCAGAACGCTCCAACAGTGCCGCCCCCTGTCGTGTGTGGGCGCTGGCTACACACAGCGTCAGCTGACGTCAGTGACATAAGGCTTCTGAGTGGAGGAAACCTGTTAGCTTGTCTCTGCAATCGGAAATTTCACTCGTGAGGCTAGTTTGCAGAGATAAGGTATCGGCAGTCTCGCAACCGTGGTGTTCTGACCCAACTCCCCAAATACGACAAAGCCTCTGAAGTTGACTCAAAGATTCCTTTATTAGGAGTGCTGGCAGCCCTGGCAAAAAGTTTCTCTCACACCACAGGCTAACAAGTTTGTCCGGCAGAGAGATGAATAATTTTCTGCCACACCTATTAATCTCTGGCCCCTGTCTTTTATCCCCAGAGCCAGGGTGGGGCTTCACTAGCAGCGGTGGTTCTTCCTTTCCACGAACCGGCCCATAAATTTCCTCTGCTCTCCTCTCCTCTGCCTTCTGTGCTTTGGTGCACAGGCACCGGACCCAGATATTCCTCTTCTTCATCAGTCATTTCCAGACCTGGGGGCTGTTGACTCTTCATTTGAGGGCTGACAGGTGGCCCAGGCTCTGCCCCCCACCCTCTCTCTCTCTGTGACAGCCCCATTCCCTCTCGGAGCTCTCAGGTTGCCTTGATGCTGATTCTGAACACTACACCTCCTCCTCTTTCTCTAGTTCGGCTGCTGGAGGGGCCACCGGCCAACAGGCCACAACACACGGTTCTCCTCTCTTCCACCCTCCACCCCCAGGTCTATAAGATGCCTCTCCATTTTTAGATCAACATTTTAAAGAAAAAGTATCATACACAGGAAAATACGGTATTTCTGTAGACCACTTCAGCTCTTCTGTGCTCATCCTGGTTGGGATGCATATCCTTTGTGCCCACTCTATGCCAACGTGATGCATTTGGGGGCTTTGCAGATTTGCTGCCTCCTCTCATCTTTCCGTGGCTCACACAGAATGGGTTTCTCCCCCTCTTTTCTTTCAGTGCTGTGGAGATGAGAAGTGGGGGGACTGGAGACCTCACCTGGCAATGGTTCTGTCCAACCTGACCAATAACACAGACGTCGAGTCAAGGACCATTGTCACCATGGGGGACACGCTGGGTAATCCTGCCAGGGCAAAGGGTGTGGCGGTGGGGAGGGGGGTTCAGTGAATCTGGAGTGGGGGGAGTGGTTGCATCAGGATCTTTTTATTATTATTATTTCTTATTTTTAAACAAACAAACATAAACAGACATAAAACATAAAAACCATCCTCCAGTTACATACAGTGTGCCAATTGGTTACAAAATTTTTGTGCTCCCTCACCAGTCTTCACTTACAATTTATATAGAATCTCATATTATCAATCTAGTATATATGCATACAATTATTATCATTATTAAACATTTATATGACTATAACTATTATTATTTCATTGTATGTGTAATATTCTAACAAATTTAAATTATTTTTTATTATGCATTCCATTACATCATCCTGTATCCATCCAATAGTAATACAATCTTATATCTCTTGCCATTTTTAGTATTTGTGTTCTAATTGTTTTCTTGGTAGTTCTTATATGGGCTTCTCTTGGCACCTTGTTTTTCACTGCATATCTTGTAAAGACTCGGAACCCCTTGTCTGTTCCTTCCATCAACTTCCCTTTGGTTATCACCGATNATGAGGAATTTTCTGACAATGAGAACAATCAACCCATGGAACAGAAGTTGCCTTCGGAAGTTGTGGGAGCTTCATCACTGGAAGCTTTCAAGAAGTCTCAAGTGATGAAGCTCCCACAACTTCTGAAGGCAACTTCTGTTCCATGGGTTGATTGTTCTCATTGTCAGAAAATTCCTCCTTATTTCCAGGTTGAATCTTTCCTTGTCAGTTTCCATCCATTGTTCCTTGTCTGGTCTTCAGCTGCTCTGGAGAATAGCTTGACCCCCTCCTCTCTGTGGCTATTCTCCACCCTTAAGAAATTCCCTAAGCCTAACCCTTTTTTGCAACCCTTGCTGCCTATCTTCATCCAGGTCATCATCTCAGCTCTCCACAGAACGTTCTCAAGTTCATAGTTCCTCGCCCTTTACCTTTAAATATTAAGCCCATGGTGACCCATGCCACTGTGTGAGTCAGGAAGGTGAGATCTGTGGCACTCATCTTCAAGACGGCACCTCGCCCAGGGAAGAGGCACCGTCCCAAATGACATTGCTGATCCTTGTCTCTTCACAGATGATCATGCAACACTCTTCGGAGCAAGAGGAGATGAGAGCTTTTCCCGGCCCTCTCACCAAGTAAGTTCCCAAGGCTTTTAAGGAATCGGGTTTGGTGCATTTTGTTCTGGTGTAGTTCACTGATGAACTCTTGATAACGCTCAAAGGCAGAGAAACTTTGGGGCAGGTTATTTGTTTCTGACACTCCAAAGTGATTTCATCCTTGGAGCCTGGTCTTCCCTTCTCTACACTTTCAGCTGTCCTTACGATATCGCAAGTGTTGTGGGATGATGATATTGGTACTGAAAGTCTGTGTCTAAGGGGCAGCCAAATGTTTTGCACATAGAAACTGCAGTGGGTATTGTTTACAGGAGGACGGGCCTGTTCTGACTTAGGCTTCCCAAAAGAATGAAGCCAACTCCGTGTCCCGATAAAACCCTTTTATTTAGGTTAAAGGTAATTCCTCTCCAGCAAAGTCCTGGGTAACAATATTTCAAGACATTTCACAACTACAGACCTTGGAGGCTTGGAGAGCTGCCAGGCCGATGTCTTTCAAACTCCATGCTGTAGCAGCAATTACTTGGCAAGGACTCAGGAACAGATCTTCACCCTAATGAATTGAACTAATTGTCTCCTGCAAACTCCCCTCCCCTTTCTCTCCTTTTTAAAAAAAATAGAATTTATTTCATGAGGCAAGGACTTCCAGCTTACAGACGAAGCGCTCTTTCATTCCTAGGGTGTAACGTCTTGTGATCTTAAGTGTCTCTCTCTTCCTTCTTGCAGAGATGACACCCATAAAGTGGATGTTATTAATTATGCCCAGAATAAGGCCACCCGCTGCTCTCAGAACGATGCTCTGATTGACAAGGAATCGGCTCGGCTTCTCTGGGACTTTGTTGTTCTCCTGTGCAGGCAAAATGGGGTATGTGCTCAAGGCCTCCTTTCCATGTCTTGTATGCCTTTCTGTCAGGATTCTGAGGGACACCCTAATTAAACCATGAGTCTTGAGCCAAGTTTCAAAAGAAATACAGTTATTTATTAGGAGCAACATGTCATGTACCCAAGTAAAGCCAACTCTGACCCCATGTAATTTATGACCCAATTATGACCCTGC